TTTTATCTAGATATACATTATATCTAGATTTATAATAAAAGCTATTAATTTAGAAATACTAAAACGTCGCTGCCTAGAGAAAGGAGTAACTTTTTGTGCCGCCTCTTTTTGCATCACCCAATAATATGCTCTGCTTTCACACTCAGGGGCGACTTTAATTTGATTTGCTTAAATGAGATTTTCTGAGACAAAACATACTGCCTTTTATATATCGCGACGAGGCTACAGGCGCATATCTGGAAGTTGATGGATGAGTTAGTCCATCATCTAGTCATTCATTACGTATATTTGTTTGGTTCAGAATGGAGTAGGGATGATGTATCATCACGCTTTTATTTCATATGTCAACAATTAATAATAGTATTAGGAATGGAGCCATTCTACAAAATTTGAGGAATCAACCCATGATTGGAAGCACTCATATAGTATGGAGTGGTTTCTCAAACCAAACATCATATAAATATTGCATGCAAGATTCATCATCTCAAGAGCCGTGAGCGATTAGATCACTGGTTAGGCGAGATGGGAGGTAAAGGGCAGCCCCTTGCAAAGGGCACCAGCTCCTACAGATGGCATATGACAACATTATTTTGAGAACACACAGGCCATGTAAGTGTTGTTGTTTCCTTTAACGGTAATATCAGGGAGGAGCGGTGTCCATCCGTCGCTTAGGCTTGGCGCTTCCAGCCCAATAGGGTCTGCTTACTCTTTGCGCCTCCTCATCTCTCTTCTCAAAATATCTCCCCTATCGCTTCTCGCCAATCACGTGCTGCTGCTAAGGTCATTCGCCGCACTTCCGCCCTCACAAGATCCCATCTGGCGACAGCGCTGCTCCCCATCCAGCAGACTGCGTTCATCTCCCCATCACGCCTCGCGCCTTCCAGCTGGCATGCGGACACACCACTGTTGCTGCGCATTGTGTCTTGTGTCTCGCCAGGTGCCGAGAGGTGCTGCTAGGTGCTGCCGAGGTGCCACGACGCTTGCTGCCCCCACCGTGAAGGTCGTGGTCACTGTCGACGCCATGGCCGCTGCATTCCGTGATCTCAAAGAAGGAGATGTTACATGAAAGCGTTGCAAGCTTTATGTTTCAAGTGTTTCGTGACGCTTTTGAGCTATGCGTTGCAATTGTTTCATATGGATGCTGCAAAAGTATTAGGGATGTTGCACGAGGTTGCAAGTATTTCAGAGGCATGCTAGAAGTGTTTTAGAGGCTTGTTCAAAATATTTCATCTGCTCCAAACGTGATATTATAAACGTTCTAACTGGATGTTGAACGTGTTTCACACATATGTTGTAAATAATATGTTCCAAATGTTTTAGTTGTTTGAGTCTTATGTTGCAGTAAGTGTTTTCATGTTGCAAGTTGCAAATGTTTATATATGGATATTGTATATATTTCATACATATGTTACAAGTGCATGTTCTAGATGTTTTATCTATTGCATGCATGTATGTTGCATTCAAGTTTTTCATGTTATGCGATCTTTCACGTTGTTCGAGAGTCAGCGGGGCATGAGGAATGTGGTGGCATGGCGGGGACAACGGGAATGGGGCACGGCGAGTTGGGGTCGACATGACGTGGGCGCTAAAACGCTGGCCGTGTCCTCGCGGATGGGGCGTGTTTCGGACCGCGGTGGGGGCAACGATCGGGCAGGGCGCGGTGGAGGGGCGAATGGCCTTGAATTGGGATAGATAGGGTGGGTACGAAAGCGAGGCGTAGTCTTCCGGACATGCGCGGGAGCTAAGATCATGGCGTAGGTGCACGTGAGGCGGGAAAAATCATGAACAGGGGTAGGCTGCAATCGGGCGCTGACCAGATATCCGGCGTATTAGCACCTCCGTTTCTTGAATTTGACTTTATATGAAACCGACTGGAATGGACGAGTCCGAAAAATACTGAGCCTGTGAATGCGCTGATTTTCCTTTCAGCAGTACTCTTTCAACGATGTAACAATGTTTTTCTCGCGATACATCAGCATCGTAAAAGGAAGAAGCAAATTTAAGCGAAACGAACAGAGCCAAAGAAAGCTTTATTTCCAGTGGAAGGACACATACTACAGCTTATTGACAGTGACACCACCAGCACACGCGCACTGAAAATCACGAAGCAGACCCGTTTGCTCACTTGGGACCATTGATGATAGGCTTTGAGAACGACCCATAGGTGACGCTGAACTCAACGAACTTGTCCGCGTCAGGGATCGCGTCCACCACGGCCGGGTGGGTGCAGAGCCGATCGGCCCACGCCACCAGGTTCGGAACCTTCGCCTTGTCCAGGAGAGTGACCCGGCGATCTTCTCCACCGCCTTCACCCAGCCGACATACGACACCAGAGCGATGTCCAGGTACCCGACGCTGTCGCCGCCGAAGTAGTGCTTCCCTGGCTGAGCTTCACGAAAGCCTCCTCCAAGAGCTGCAGGGCGGCGGACAGCTGCTCCGCCGCTTGGTCTTTTTGCCCCCGTCATCCGTTCCCTTGAGTATGCGGATCGCCGAAGGAGCTGCGTGAGTGTCAACCAGCCAGGAAGAGCATGATTAGTCTCACTCTGACACCATCATTATAAATTGCTACTGAAAACTGATTAGAATTGCTCAGACAAAGAGCTCGATCGACTAGCTAGTTTTGCTTTACCTTGTCATCGACGTACTGTGCCCAGAACCGCTGGACCGCACGGGTGTAAGGGTCGGCGTGGAGGAAGGCCGGCGCGTCGGAGGACCAGACCTCGTCGATGTACTGGACGATGATGAGAGACTCCGGAGATGGGCTTGCCGTGGTGGAGCAGGACGGGGATCTTCTTGTGCACCAGGTTCGACCTGAGCAGCAGCTCGCTCTTCTTGCCCACCACCTCCTCCACGAGCTCGTACTTGACGCCCTTCAGCTTCAGCGCGATGAGGACGCGGATCACGAACGGGCTCGCCCATAGGCCGATCACACGCACGGCCTCTGCCTCTGACATTTTTGTGGTTCGAGTTCTTGGCCTAGTGCAGAGCTCTACTGACAGTATTTATATACAAAACATTGCACTCAAAAACACTGCCATTCACATCACATGCAGCAGGCCCCGCCACCACGTGACGACAACTCGAGCGAGCCTCAAAAACATTGCACTCGGACGGCCCACCACGCGAGCAAAACGTGCTCCACTCCACTCCAAACCCCAGTGCCGTGAAGCTTCCTCTACGCCTCATCATCCGTCCCCGTGGACACGAAACCAACGCGGTTTAGCCTATCTCCTGCTACGCGTACTCCCAACGCTGCCTCAGGGCCCAAAAAAAAAAAACTCATCCTCCCGACGGCCCGGTGCAGGCAGACACCTCCGGGCCCCGCGGGTACCCTCTCCACGGCACAGGAGGACCTCCCGGCACGGAAGGGCGAGGGAGAAGGGCGAAGAACGTGCAAGTGCTAGCTTAGCAAAAACTTGGCACATGGGATGGGACCAAGTTAGCTTCGGTTCCATGGATTAAAAAAAATCAATTACTCTGACATGTTTATGATGAACAGCCTATGAGCGGAAGGAGCATTGTCAGAAACTATATATATATTTTTTTTCATTATTTGATGATTTTGTACTTAAAGTACTTGCAATACATAGGAGCAAAATTTTCTTGGCTAGCTTCTCTCAGATGGCCTCATCTTAGTTTCGTCTTCTATTCTAAACACTAGTATTTCCCTTACTGCTATTGTAGCTACCTGTGTGTTAACAAAATTGTTACTCATCCATCCATGCAAAGACCACTTACCAATTATAATATACTTAGAATATTTCCTTTTTCCTTCTAAAAGCAACCGGTGAGAAGTTTGTCGAGCGTTAGTGTATTTTTATAATAAATGAGCATTTTATAGGAACATAACGGTTCTGTGTTTTTTCTTATGTCTCTAGTAAGCAACTTTTTTGTGTGGGGTAGATCCTTGTTAGCCGAGTGGTGTATTGTGAGAAGCTCTGTCACGTGGCGGCGAGCTCATTTCTGTGACTGAGGAGAAGTTTGCTGCAAGTAATAGTTGTATGTGGATATACATATTTATATACAAAACGAGCTCGTGCTCTTTTTTTTTCTGAGCCTGTTCGCTGGTTGGTTTCTAACTTGATAAGCTCGATTAATATTAATTTATTATGAGAGAAAAACACCATTGCCTGATTGAAACCGATGTCTGTCCAGGCTATCTAGACGTCCTTGCGTGCGTCATGGTCCGGACAGCTGCCTCTTTTTTGTCGTACCTTGAGTTTCGAGCTGATGTGATCGCTTTCGTCATCGAAGCTGCTGTGTCTTGGATTTTATACGGTCGATCAGTTTTAAAGATCTTCACTTTGCCAATTAGACAGCCGTTTCCTAATCATAAAGACAGAAAGATAGAACGAATTGATTTAGAGGTAAGAGAAAGAACAGTCAATTGCAGAGTGACAGTTTTATCAAACAAAAAAATTACAGTGACACAGAAAGACACATTTTTTCTCCTTTTCTATAAGCTAACCCTTCCGTCCCGTACGTCAAACTTTCTTTGATTAAATTTATAGAAAATATGATCATCATTTGTATCTCTAAATAAGTTTATTATAAAATATATTTAATAATTTATTATAAAATATAGTATTATATTTGTTCTAAGTCGAAAGTGTTCCACTTCTTAAAAAGTAACAATGACACTTTTTATAGGACGAAGAGAGTAGACTAGAAAGATGAGAGACACTACTATCCAGGATTGGAATGCTCATGAACGGTTGTATCATATTGCTTTCTGTTACCATTTTTCTTTTTTTCCGCCATTACTGGGCTTGTTTTTTTTGTATATATAATTTAAGTTTAAGTCATGACACAGCATTCAGATCGATCATCTAGAACTGGATATGCGGTGTTCCATGCTCGTCGCTAAATGTTACAAAATACTTCAAACATTTTATTTTTACCCCAAATCAAATTCCTCTAACTTTGACTAATTTATAGAAAAATACACTACACTAAGTATCCGGAGCATTAGTAATTTCATTAACTCTAATATGAAATACATCTTGATAATACATTTATTTAGAGAAGCCTAGCAATAACCCACAAAATAGGTCCCTACTTTTGAGGGCTCTATTTTGTGGGATACACTCCGGCAGTAGCTCTCAAAACAATGTCTTCATTCTTTCTTTATCTTCTCTCAATTGATGAACACGGCTATGCTGGGGGCGCAGCCATTAGGAAGGGCTCCAATGCGGAGGGGCATAGCCATGGCTCCAGATGAGAGTGGCGCAGCTAGGGAGCGAGGGGCTCTAGCGGGGAGAGGCGACACGGGGAAAGTCACCAAGAGAGGAAGGAGCCGGGGAGGGGTGGTCGCTAGAGCTGCCGTGTTGTTTTCTTGCTCGAGGTGCGACCTCTCCCTTACTGTAACGCCTATCCACACGTCGCTTGTAACACCCCTGCAGTCTAAACGGCTTAGATCCACTCTGGGACGTTGAGCGAACCACACCTTTCACCATCCACTCCCACGCTTACGTCATCATCGCTTCGTGTAAAAGGATTAACCTAGGGATGATGGGATGAATTATAGAAGCCTTATATGTTGGTCTAACCCACCCTAAACAATCAAGGTGGGACTAAACCCTCCATAATATATCATTAACATGCACAGGGGCCACTCTGAGCCAAACTCCAAACTGGATGGATGTGACACGCCTTGAACGGGAAGCCAAAGGGGTGGTGCCTGGATGGCTAAACGGGCGACGGCCTAACGAGGAAAGGAAGCGTGGGAAACAACCAGAAATGGTGATTTGAGGGCTTGGCCCAGGACCCCTAGGAATGAGGGGTGGAGGGGATTTGAGGCTCCTCTCAAATTTGAGGGCTCTAGGAGGCACCCTCATAAATAGGATGAGGACTCAAGTAGAGGCTCTGCTGGAGTTACTCTAAGTATTACGTATGTTCATATATCTTTTTATAAATCTAGTCGAGTGCAAGTATTTAGCCGCTCATCTCTATAAATCACGTGTATCCAAAAGAGTCAAATCCATGATCTTTAGCCTCATGCGACATGTCTCCACCCACGGCACTGCATGCTCACTTGTGAGTGAGTATAGGATGTTACTATTTTGTATTAGCATTTTGTAATCTTGAATTAAATATTTTGATCGCTAAATAATCTTAAATAAAAAAGGTTTAGATTACAAAGTTTTAGATCTTGTGAAGCACAACAGTCTCCATCTGAGATTGTTTAAAAATTTCAAAAATTTGAATATAAGAATATGATAAATTAAAACATATGTTTGATATACTCTAAACGAATTGAATAAAAAAACTTGTCAACTACAAAGTTGAAGATCACATCAACCAATAAATTGGGTATTGACTATGTTAACAATTGCGGTCTTTTGAATTTTTTAAAAATGAATTTCAAAAAACTAAACTACTTAAATAAAAAAAACTTGACAACTACAAAGGTCTAACTAAAATGTGGTGTAGACCATGTCAACATCCGAGATCATTGAAAATTCTTAAATTAAATTCCAAATTGAAGGAACCATGATACCTAAGACGGGGAGGGGTTTTGAATTAGGCAACTTAATACTAAACACGACCTCTAATGTGTTTCTATCTCTACCATAAAAGAGTTATGCAACATAGGTTCCAATCCTATCACTAATGTAGCAAGTTAGACTAGGAATATAAAGCACACAACTTAAGTACACAATATAAATGCAGAAGCTTAAGGGTAGAAAATACAAACTCCCGTTGATGACTCTCAATTTTACCAAGGTATCGAGAACCCCATGCTTCCCTCTAATCCTCATTTGAGCCTCTTGTGAGGATGCCCTCATATGGGCTAAGCTATCGACCAGTAACTCCATGGAGCTCATGGGCCTTCTCCATGTGCAAGTGGGTCCATTAGGCCTTCTCCAAGATGACTCCGGCACACACGAGATATTAAGGTGTGCACATGAAACTATGCCCACGTCAGTACACTGTGGGAGCACTATGGTGAGCACTCTAGTGACACACCGGAGCACTCTGATGAGTGCAAAACAGCACTATGAAGTGCTTTTCTCTCATCTTCACAAGCAAGCATGCTAACTCAAAAATGTTTTGCCAAACATTTGAGCCCTAAGTTAGTATTTTTCAAAGTGTTTTCAAATATATTTTCGCTTGCTACTCACCACGTCACTAGGTCTAATGCATATGCATGTATATCAACACCTAGTGGCACTAGATAACCGTGTAGCTTTAGAGCTCTCCTCTTAATAGTATAACTATGTATCATAAACCCGAGTACCTGACCATGCATTCCATTACGTCTCGACCAGCAAAAACAAAACCCTTGACATACACCTTTGACTTCGGGCTTGTTTTCACCTCTTCATTTTCTCTCCAAGTGAGATTGTTCCATTTGCATGATCACGCTTCATCCAAGTCCTAGCCTTCCTCACCACCTTGGCGTGGACTTCACCTAAACTAATCAACACTTAGGCAAAATATTAGTCCACTAGTTGTCACTCAATTACCAAAACCAAACATGATGCTTTCAAAGCAACATGGATTTGGACGCTTACAATTAATTGTGTCTTGTGCAACTGAGATGAAGAAGAAACTTTGCAACATCTGTTCCTCCATTGTCATTTTTGCAAAACAGTGTTGGAGATTCATCAATCTAGATATTCCACCAAATAGGAGCTTCTCTGAAATCACAAGCTATTTCAAGGACAAGAGACAATCACAATTCTTCATGGTAGCAGTGGCGCTGCTGTGTTGGGTAATTTGGATAGCAAGAAAGGACTTAATTTTCAAAGGAGTCCAACCTAGTATAGTGCTTGCAGACGCCTCTTCTTCAAAGAAGTTCTGTTGATCTCCCACAGAGTCAAGACTTTCGCTACCCTTTGATCAATGGACACAAACTATGGTGTAAATGTGTAATTAGTAGGCTACTCTTAATTTTCTTTGTCTCTTTTGTTTCTTCATTTACTTCTTGTTAGAGCATCTCCACCATGTT